AAGTATTGTGGAGTGCTTACTTGTAAAGTTTTTACTGTAGATTTTTTGATTTGTAATCTTTATTGAACAGACTCTTATCAAAATGTTCCTATAAAGCCCAGTTATACAGTTATAAATACAGTCTGAATACATTGTAATGCACGTTGCAGCTCAGATGGTAGACAGAGAAAAGGACAAAGTCTCACAATTTTACTTTATGAGAAGTTAGATTGTGCAATGTCCCTTTCTAATTTCGTTCTTCCTTCTGCATCTGCATTTTAATATATAACTTTTGGTGTGTAGCACTTTCTAAAATGTTATATATGTTTATGGTATAGTTAGATTCTGGCAATAACACGTAGAGAACAAAATCTTAAAATGCAAACCCACATGTAAGGGTTTCAGTGGAAATACCTTACATCTTTTAGACAGGAAATTGAAACAAAGTGACAAAAAAAAAAGCCACACATCCTCAGACACGTGGTTTTAGCAGAAAAGAAACAAGAGCAGCAGAAAGCATTGAGAAATGTTGCAACTTCTTCAGATCAACCAATATGCAGCACCACAACGTACCACCACTGATGTACCAGGCTCATTCAAAGACGTTAAACTTGGTGTGGTGTGTGGTCAACATGCGCTGGTTTTGTTTTTAATCATATAGTCAGAATAAAACTGTTTTCTGTTTTAATTTTTAGTGTGCCTGTTTTCTTGCCTGGAATCAATTCCCTTTCTTGTTGTGTTGACACGAAACAAAGTCTGTGTTTGTACTCATAACAGGTTTAGTTTTCATTAAAGGAAAGTACTGATAAGCAGAGTGAATCTATTACAGTTAACAGATAAGCTCTAGCAGATGCAGGAAACAAGAGTTTAATTTGATGCAATACTGAAGACTAATTATAACCAGTAATACTATAAACTTGACGTGTTGCTGCTGCTACAGTCAACCAGCATTTCTCAGATTAGACCACAAGTCTTCTGTTCTAATTGAACACTTTTCTGGTTAAGACGGAAAGAGGAAGGTAAACTGTAGCTTGAAAGGAGGAAAAAAAGTCTTTCTTCTTGTGTGAAATGACTGTAAGCTGAGTTTCTTAAAGAATACAATTTGTGAAAATACACTTTATTTGAGGTAACATTTATATTAATTAAATTAATTAAGTGTGTAACATGTAGGAGGATTGATTGGTAGAGATGGAACATCATGTGGTTAACTATGTTTTCATAACTATATAATCACCACCCATGCTCGTAGCTGAAACATAATAAACAAGAAGCTATTTATCTGTGAGCGCTGGTATCCTGTTTGTTTCTAACATTATGATTTTGCCTTGAGCCCAGAAATCAGGTTTGACTGACAGGCCGAAACCTGCATAAAAGCTTCAAAGTGATAACACAGATTTTGTGCTCGACACAAACATGTATATCTTATAATAAAATAAGATGTTGTCCTCCCTAAGTACTCTTCTTTCCTCTGTTTGCCTCCTACACTCTTTTTTTTACAGCGATGATAGCTGTGTGCATTAGAGGCACACTGGTCTCTGTTTGAACAGACAGAGAAGTCTTTATATGAGAGAAAACAGAGAGCTATGAAAAGCCCGCAGCACCAACAAAGAGCTCTTCCTCTTCCTATTCCCCTGTCACCTGACTGGTGACATCAGCACCTGTTTGTGTCATGCTGTGTCCTACAGTCTGCATGTTGCAACAATGAAGTGAAAGATAAAAAAGGCTGTTGGATTTGCCATGGGGGAATTCCATCACTGTGGTCATATAGAGACATCTTTACTGCCTGAAGACAACATGTAAAAAAATGAAAAGTTAAAACAGTTTGTAGCATGTTATTAGCTATAAAGTTATAAACTGTAGGACTGTTTAATGTTGGATCACAATAACATCAACAAGGATAACAGCTTATGTTTCTATCACTTTCAAACATTATGACATTAGCTTTATGATTGAAGATTGTGCAACAGGTGAAACCTGTTCACTGACTTTTTTAAATACATATAAAATAATGATAAAAAAAATTTGATTTCAGTACTAATATTTAGTACATATAATACACAATAAAAAAATACAGATTTCTACAATTGAGTAAAAAAAACAACAACTCATGATTTAGGGTAAAAAGCTTAAGTTGTGCAACAGTGATAACAAAATAAAAGTACATTATATGTCATATGACGTGGCTCTGAAACCTTCACATTGAAGTGCAATGTGAGGGTGTCAATCTTTTAAAAATATCTACTTCTCCTTATTAGACAGAATATAGTCCTCCACCCCTTGAACTCATGACATGACTTCACATTAAATTCCCCTTAAGTCTGAAGCATTGTTTGGTCACTTCTGAGTCACAAGAGGGCATTTCTCTCTCCTCTTCATCACTGACTTGACTGCTTTTGATGCTCGACATTTAGTTCCTTCAGTTCTTCCTGTACTGGACCCTGGTCAGGCAGAACTTTCTCTCCCACACCCATCTCCCACAGCGAGCTGTCATCTGTAGCACGTCTCCGCATCGCCAGGAAAAGACAGAGCAGAGGCCTGAGGAATGCATGAGTGCAGCCCAGAGCAGATGTGACTATTAGAGGTGTCTTTAGGGAACCTACAGTAGATAAACCATCATTAAGTTTCTCAGAGCTTCTTCTGACGGTGTCCACAATGAGTGTGATGTTGTACGGCATCCAGCAGAGGAGGAAGACCACTACCAGGGGGAGGATGACCATGATGTACCTCTTCTTCTGGAGGTCTGTAGGGCTGTGCCGCAGCCGTAGCAGGACACCAGAAGAGCAGCAAATCAGAGCGGCTGCAGGCAGCAGGAAGCCCAGGAGGTGGTGGAGCAGGCGGGACAGCAGCTGCCAGTCAGTAGGTGACAGAGAATAATTGTGAACACACAGGGATTTCTCTTGTTCTGGATCTTTCCAAGCCACCAGAAAAATATAGTCAGGGACGCAGAGGATCAGGGAGCTGATCCAGACCAACAGGCAGCTAATATGAGCTAACCTGGGCCTCTCCGAGGAGTAAAACTGGATGGAGTGAACAATGGACAGGTAGCAATCCAGACAGATGAGAACCAGCAGAAACATCCCACAGTAGAAGTTGATCTAGGAAAGACAAAATGAAAGTTTAGCTATGGTGTATGGTGTTGTGTAAGAGAGCAACTTTCCCTTTCACTTCTCCCCTACTCCGATCCCCTCCTCTTGCCTTTCCCAAGAAATGTTGAGATTCCTGGAGATTATCAGGGGAGTACTCTTGCAGTATTAAGTACAATGAGAGACTTTAAGCAGGAACTAAAAGCCTGGTGCCAAACAGTCCATCCAAAAACAACTTTCTCACATCGCCCTTAAGAGACCACCCTTCCGCTTTCCTGTCCCTGTTTGTTCTACACACCAATCTGTATTATTCATTTATTTGGTGTTTATTTATGCACACAGCGTGTATGCATGTATTTTTGGATAATATATAAGATATAGCTAAAAGTGACTTTCATCTGTAACACAGATAAAAAAACATGAAAACCTTACACAACAGACAAGATAAAAACCCGGTATGACAAACTAAGAAACAAAACCCAAGAATAACAATCACCCTGAAACAAACAACAGAAAAACAATTATACATGTATTCTAGGGAGCGCATCAGCAATCCCAACACAGGGACATACAATTCATCAGAAATTACTACATTCAATGTCTCGCAGCTCATTGACTACAGAGTTTTCACACTACAATTAAAATGTTTAAGGGGGCTGCACTCTCTGATACTCAGTGGTAAAGAACTCTGGAGTCCACTGGAGGAACCTCTAGTTGACCTTGAGCCATGTTGTTACAAACTGTTTAGGAGGTTGAGCTGCAAAATTGTGAATTATTTTGTATAGCAAACCAACATTGTACATAAACAGTTTACAAAGGTCAACATGTTATACCTAACTACATTATAATATAGGATGTATGCTTATACAGAGTCTGAAGAGGTTGCCTTAAAGTAATATGTGTCTGAGACCAGGTTGTACTACAGTATGCAAAATGTGATAATATCATTGCATGCATGTACAGTTTTGCTGCATCTGCACTCATTTGATTTCTCATAAATCTAAAATTAGAAAGTTGTTTTTGAAATCAAACGCTACTTACATTGAAAACAGCTCCACTGATCTTGCAGAAAATGTCTTTGAAGCACCATTCACAGTGTTGAACGGCCTGTGCAGTCCAGAGGGGCAGCGTCACCAGCAGCAGCAGGATGTCTGCAACAATCAGGTTGAGCATAAAGGTGTCTGATATACTCCAGGATCGCCTCTTCTGAGCCAAAACGAACAGGAGTAGTCCATTCACCAGCAGACCTACAATCACCACCATGGAGTACAGAACCGGGATCGACACCAGTGCAGTTTCTTTTGACTCAGAATCATCTTTGTACTCATAATCCGAGTAGTCAAAAGTGGTGTTCAGGACAAATATTCCACCGAGCTCAAGGTTCCCGTCCATCTTCTGTGGAGACAAACAGGTTAAAATCAGTGAGGAATAATAAAAAAAAGGCTGCTGCTTCTTCTGGGTGTCAAAAATACTAAACCAAACTTTCTTCTTTCTCTCTCTCTCTCTCTCTTTCTGTGTGTGGTCATACAGCCATGTGAGAGTGACGTCTTGAAAATCTCCCCTTGGAAAACCCAGCTGAGGATTCATTCACATCACAGGGACACATAGGCTACCTCACATGGTGCAAAGTCAGTATGATGAAGCAACAGTGGAGTGGATTTAAACGGAAAGCAATGTTCCCCTTGGTCATATGCACACACACACACAATCTATGAAGCTATGTCATGTTCATGACTGTCACTTCTGATTACTGAAGTAGATATACAGCAGATAAATATGGCACACAGCCAGGCTACAGCAGGGATCCGTTTCGAAACGAAGAGTAATACAGAAACAGAAAGGGATTGACTTGAATATCAGTACTGCAGTAATGGTTACAACTGAAATTAGGTCTCTACTCATCTCTAGTTATATTATTATTATGTTATATTATTAAAATATAAGAGCCAATATGTTATACGACAAAAATCAACCTTGAGAGTCTTACCATAAAGGGCTTCAGCTGTAGATTTAGAGGTCGGTAAGTTCCCAGGCGCTGTGGATGATACTAAATAAGGACAAACAGAAACTCGCACGTATCGTATCCTCCACACTGAGGTCAACAGCTCTGGATCGTCGACTGTATGAACTGCACTCGCAAGTCAGTACTGGAGGGAGGACAAGGACGAGATCCTGCAGCTGTCGAGCTCCGCTCAAGTCCAGCAGACAAACGCGCAAAAAAAAAAAAAAACTTTCTTTGTGTTTGCGCGCACACTTCAGGAGTCACTGAACGTGGAGTTAAAGGGGGGGGGCGCATGTTTAGGTGTGCGGAGGGTGAATCATAGTACACAGAACCTGCGGGTACCAGAGGGAAACTGAAAAACAGACGATGAGAAAAACTGCGCTTCACCAGCTGGAAGTTTTATAACACGGTCACATTACATACCGGGACATGTACGGAACTGAAGTAAACGCACTTTAATTATTTTTTTTATTTTTTTAATTAGTTCCTCGCCGGATTGTTTTGGTTCGTCAAATGTCAAATCCTCTCGCACATTACGTCCTCTACAAAATCTGCCAACTCACATAAAAACGCGTCGCCCGATCAATTGTTTTTCAAAATAAAATGTGTAATAAAAAACACAGCAGCATCTACGAATATAAATAAAGAGAAAGATGCTGAAACATAGACAGAGCTCTTCGGTTTGTATTGAGAAGCACATGGAGTGATAAAAATGGCGCAGTCCTGATGGCCTTTGCCATAATTGTGAACAAAAGTTGCTTTACTTTGAAGGCCGAATTGCCCCACTTCCGCGTTCCCACTTTCTATGCCTGACTTGACGCAGAGATATTTCACACAAAGCCAACAATGCGTCGCACAAGGAGCTGCTGTCCACTAGATGGAGCTGTTTCACTGTTTCCAAACTGAACCACAACCACAGGCCTGTTCCAGCCTGCAGAGTTACAAGGTTATCAGGATAACAGGATAATTAAACTGAATAAAATAGGTGTTTTACATCAGTGTTTGAGGGGTTGATCTAAAAATAAAAGGAAAAGTTCAGCTATGGTCTTGTGTAAGAGGGGAACCTGCACTTTCACTTTCTCTTCTCATCCTATTCTGACCCCCTCCCCTGGCTTTTCCCCTTCTGGAAGTTATCATGGGAGTATTCTGGCTCAGTAACAGAACCTTGATCCAAGAGTCCTAAAGCAGGAACTTAAGGTCTGGAACCAAACACTGTCTATTCAAAAACAGCCCTTCCGCTTTCCTGTCCTTGCCTGTTTCACACACTACTCTGTAATTATTTATTTGAATAATGTTTATTTAGCAGGGACAATGCACAAAACAAATATGGTGCCAGATGTAGCTGAAAGCGACTTTCATCTGTAGTCCCTGGGCGGAGGCCAGTAGTGTGCAGGTAACAGAGATAAAAATAGAATCAGAAGTAAAAAATTAATTTCTTGCACTTTTGCAAAACAGACAAGATAAAACCCTATATGACAGACTATGAAACAAAACCCAAGAATAACAATCACCCTGAAACAAACAACAGAAAAACAATACTAAATTTCCACTAGGTGCCAAGAGTCTTTAAACAGGAACTAAAGGTCTGGATCTAAAAACACAATCCATCCGTTCCTGAAGAGCCTGCCCTTCTGCTTTCCTGCCCCTGCCTGTTCAGGGTTTTACTCAGTTACTGAAATAAGCAAAGTGCACAATTAAAAGTAATGGCACCAGAGTTAGCTAACAGCTAATTTACATCTGTTGTCCCCCAGGCAGGTAGACAAGAAACGACAACAGAACAGTAAATAACTACATAAAGCAAGACAATACATAAAAGTCCATCAGTGTGAAAAAATAAATAAAATCAATATGATAATGAATACAATAAACACAAGGCAATCATTTGTGATGATTTCAGCCAGAGCTTGATCTTGGTTCAGGTTTGGAGACACTAGTGACAACACAAACCAAAAAATCCACTAGCTCCCATAAAGTTAGGTCCACAGGTGTAACATCTTACACAGATGTAGTTGAAAGGTGATGGTGATTTTCATATTTGCAACATTGAGCACGGCCTTTTTAAAGCTACTCGAAGATGACTAACTATAGATGAGAACCACATAAAACTTTCTTCTAGCCTCATACTAAATGAGCAAACAAGAGCATGTTACCTTTCAAATGAGTCCTCATTCATGCATTTTGGCCTTAAATTGGCCTTACTTTTTTGTTTTTTGGGGGATGTTTTGGGTAATATTTTTAAACAGAATGGCATCAAGCACCAGAATCTTATTTTGCTACTTTCCCCTTTGTTTCCTTGACAATTTTCATACTTGTAATTTATGCATTTGTAGTACCTTTATTTTTGCATTTACATTATTTCTAGATATTTGGCAGATAAAAAATTTAAAAACACAAAATGTTATCAGTTTATGTAAAAGAATCAACTCAGCAGTCTACACAGTAATGTAATTAAAATGTGCTTGGTCAGCTGCAACATGTAAAGTCTGCTCACATATCAACAACAACACTACAAATAATAACATAAATACCTTTTGCTGAGAATACGTATGTATAATCACTTAATAAGGTATATTTACACAACATCACTAGTTTTTATCATCAGTGTCTAGGATTTATTAGCATCTGGTAGTGAAGTTTCAGATTGCATTGTTGTCAGAGGATTCATGGTTTGGGACTTTGTCTAATCTTTTTCTTGTGTGTGTGAAATGTTGGATATTTTACAGTTATTTTGATGAAACCATCTTAAAAGTTTAAAGGGGAAACAGTTAAAAGGGCACCTGTAACATAATAAGTGCCCCCAAATACACGCTGCGTTTTTGTAGTCAAAAACATTGGGAACCACAAGTTTAATTTTGATCAAGGGAAAGGTAATGAAAACACAATAATTTCTATATTCAGGTGATTGTACTAATGAAAACATACCTATGCAGGTGTCCTGATATCTCACCTGGTAGAGCTGGTCCCCAAGGCTGAGTCCTTGCTTCAGCAGCCATAGGATTGACTCCGACCTGTGGCCCTTTGCTGCATGTCATCCCCTTTATCTCTCCTCCATTTGCTGTCACTCTTCAGTTATCACTATCAACATGTATGAATATTATATTCTATACTTGCCATTGGATCCTCCTAACTCCTCTGAATACTCCACCACTGACCGTAAGCTTTCAATTAAATTTCTTCAAAACATGAATAATAATAATAATAATATTAATATTATTATTTAATCCATTATATTTAATAATGGATTAAATTCCACATACTGGCTTTTAAATAACACATTTGTATGACGTTGTCGTTTGCTGGTTTGGACCTGTGCTTGCAAAAGTGTTATAGTGACTCAGAATCAAAGACGTCATTCTCTCCAAGGCGCTCTGTCTCATCATCACACCCAGTTCATTGTAGTTTCAGACTTATATTCACTCATATTTGTATTAATCATGAGATCTGTGCTGGATGAAAGTAATGAACATGTAGAAAGAGAACCTGAGGTGTCGATTAATATAAAAAAACACTATATTTTTATTCCAAACTTTGTAAAAAATGTAATGTAAATTTATTACATAAATCTTTGAAAATAACAAAAACGCTGGGTATTACAAAACTCAAAATGAGTCATTTCATTTCCTCTTTTACAGCAGTTCATTTTTGAAACATACAGCTAAAAAGCAGCTTTATATGGGCCATGAAAAAAAGAAACGCAAAATGATCATTTCAACATGTACAACTTTTCAACATATACGAGCATTTTCACTGTTTTATAAGCTGAAACTTCCTGCAGATGTATCTGCGCGTGGAATCTGATGAGACTAATCTACTGAGTGCAAGGATGTGAGATATGAGTCTGACTGCTGAAGCTACAGGCTACATCTTAACTGCTGATCAAGCTTTTTTTTAGGAGTATGAAGAAATCTATATGTTACACAAGATTTGACCTCTGGACACAAAAATGAACACGTTTTCACAAAAAAAGGCATCAGCATGTGTTTTTCTCTCTGTTCCACTCTAACTTAAAGACTTTACTATAATATTCTTGCATAAAAAATATAAACAACATAAAAACAACGTGTGATAAGCTGCACCATATCACCAGATGTTAAAGCACCAGTTGGACAGGCAGAAAACTTTCCCGCTGAGAATGTTTTTAAAGTCTTCATTAAACTGAACTTATATATCAGTTTAGTCTTTTTACTTTTCTCTTAACCCCCTCACACACACACACACAACCACATCTCCTCTTTAATCAGGCCTATCTTGGTTTCACACCATGACAGAATAAGAGGTGTTTTCGCTTTCTGCAGAACTGAACGATCCTGTGGTTCTTTTGTTCCTCCTCTCCCTCCATCCCTCCATCCCCTGCCAGCCTCTCTGTCCAAGAAGCCCCTTACACATTTTGGCAAGCTCCCTTCTGAACTTTACCCCCACAAAGCCGTACAACAGAGGGTTCAGGGCGCAGTGTGACAGCCCCACGCTTTCAGTAATCAGAGTCCCAATGTCCATCACACGACCAAACTGGCAACCTGCAGTCAACACTCCTAGCCAGTGCAGACTATCTGCCAGCTGAAAGGAGTTATACGGTGCCCAGCAGATGACAAACACAGACACTAATGAGATGATGAGGCGAAGAGACTTGCGCCTTTGGCGACGAGTGGCATTGCAAAGAGACTTGAAGATGCGGATGTAGCAGTAGAGCATGATCAGCAGGGGGAGCCCAAAACCCAGAACCACACTGATCAGCCGCAGCCCGGCCTGCCACTGTCTGGAGTTCTCAACAAACCACACCTGGCACATGAGGGTCTTATGATGACCTATAGTCTTCACCTCCACTACCTGTTTGAAAGTAATGTCCACTCCACTCAGGCCCAGGCAGACCACCCAGATGACGGCACACGCAATCTGGGCATGGCAGGTGTTGCGCTTCCAGCCAGAGCTCACAGCGTGAACGATGGCCAGGTAACGGTCAAAGCTGATGCAGGCCAAGAAGAGGATGCCACTGTAGCGGTTCAGGGAGAAGAGGGCACCGGAGATCTTGCAAGCAGCCAAGCCGAACACCCACTGGTGAGCCCACTGCACTGCAAACAGGGGCAGGGTGAAGGCCAGCAGCAGGTCAGAAATGGCGAGGTGAAGGAGGAAGGTGTCTGTCAGAGAGAAGGCACAGGCACCACCACTCTGAGTGTTTCGGTAGCGTCGGATCACACACAGCACCAGGACGTTGCCCACCACAGCCAGGAGGAACACCAGAATGTATACAGTAGGGGAGTACGCCTTTGCAAAACTGTAGATGTCCTCCTGTGGACATGGCTCTGCACTACTGCTGCTCATTTCAGAGGGCATGGTGTAATTGTCATAGTCCTCAAATATCTATTGACAGAAGAGGGGAAAGCAGTTCTGTCAGATTCTAGAAACAGATAAGTTATTTAGGAAAAGTGTAACATTTGATAGACACTATAAAGTGGAAACCAATATTTTTTTTCTTCTTTTAATTCACTTGAGCCTGAGCAATGCATGAAGGTAATAAGGTTCCAAAAACGTCAAATAAAATCTGTTTCAGTAAAAAACTTGACTCTAAAGATAGTTGATATACATGTTTGATACTATATGACAGTTGAATAACTCATTTGAAAATATCTCTTATGGAATATGTTCCTGTATACAGTGTATTAAATCTGCTCATGTTAGAGAAAATAAAGTGCAAACTTAGGCAGAAGTCTCAGTGTATAAATATAAAAATGGCCACTCACCCAGTAATCCATGGTTGGCGTCACTTGATCCATATTTGTTGCAAACAAGGAGGCAGCAGAACACCTGAAACCCTACGACAGTCAAAGACAGCACACTCATAAACAAATTAGTTTTTCTAACCATGCCACTCTTGTCCAGATGAAGGAGGATCAGAAAGAAGAAGTCATAATTTCAGGAACTGAATCCTTGCAGGTTTTAGACAGATGCACAGAACAGTGCTTTAGTAGGAATAGATGACTGTCTGGGAAATTGTGACATATATTTTTAAAACGTGACATGGGGCAGCTATAAAGCTTGGCCAGACAGACAGTGCATGACTGAGGTACTCTATATGGAAAAATAATCTATTTTCTATCTTCTAGATTGTGCACCCGTATCTACTGCGGATCCATGTTATTTTATGTATAAAATGCTTTCCATATCATAACATCAAAAGGGAACAACATTTATGGGAATGTAACCTTCAAGAAGCAGAAACTGGTTTTACCAAACAATCTTTTGCAAATGGTGAAGTGAAAGTGCTAAGTTGACAAGAATTTCAATGTCTCTACTATGTTGTTCTTTATTTATTTGTTTTGGGATATTAAGCAGTACACCAAAACTATATTGTAGTATATTGTAGGTGAAGACTTTAGATTTTGAGCAATCCATATTTTACAAATCTTAGAATGTCAAATAGAAATAAAAATTGTTTAAGAAAAGTACAAAACAATTCAAGGTAAACCTCTGTTTATATGTAGTTGATGCTGAATGAAACAAACAAATTAACTCACTCACCCTCTGAGATCTTGTAAAGAAGAACTATGAAGCTTATGTAGGATGGACTAAATACTATATGTGATTAGATACGCATACACAGGAAGTTCTTTTTGCATCTTTGTGGCTGAAAATAACAGACTACTAGGGGCAGACAAGAACACCACTTTATTGCTCATTAGATATGCAGAGGGCATGCATGCTACTACTACTAAAATTAAATGTATTCAAATCTCTTTCATGCTCTGTTAAAACAACTTTAACCAATTAAAATAATATTGGGATAGTGATTTGACATCTACCTGCAGATGCCTGATATGAGGAAATGCCACAGAAACACTTTTAACCTCTGAAGTGTACATAGGGTTTTGAATTGGGGTTCTATAAAAAGCACTTGCAAACTCGACTCAGCACTCAAATTCTTGTGAAGCGGTAAAGTGAGTCATAATGCCCTTCACAGACACAGAGATCGACAGGATGGACAGAATGCGAAGTCCTCATTCCCCTTTTAGTATCTCTGTATGATTAAAAAAACAATGTGTTAAATGTGTGAGGAACTGAACATACTTGCGGTTACTTCTGTCTCGACTGAGGGTCTTTCGGGAAAATTCTGTTGTTGTGCAACTTTACTGATATTTTGCTTCCTTCTGTCATAGTCGATGAACAGTGTATTACACATCACAGAAGCATATTGTTAAAGTTATATATATATATATATATATATGTCTGAATGTAATCTGGTGCGCACATGGAGGAGCAGAAGACTTTGACTCCTCCAAAGAGCCTATTAGCTCACTGCCATGCTTCATTTTTTAAAACTTGGAACCTCTGTGGCTCTCTGACCCGAGCTCTGCAAGAGGTTCCACTTCCTTTTTGCCTTTGCTCCAATACACCACTGTCTATAAGAAGTGTTAACTTGACTGATTAAAAGATCTAATACAAATCTGCTGACAGTCATTTATTAAAACAAAAACACATTACATAATAAGATAATCTTGAAATGGATCCTTTCCGATTTCAACTAGTCAGTGCTCTCTGGTGGACAAAATCACTGTTTCTAAAGTACCAACCAACCAAGTGCAATTTCTTGTTACTTATTAGTTTTTTGTCCAGGCATGATTCATTCACTCTACAAAAGAAAATACAAACAAATGCAAAAACATTAATCAAAACAAAAATCAAACAACAATAATCAAAATAATAAAATAGCTCCTACATCAATATATCTGCATTAGGCTAATATCAGGCAACTTATCTGCCCACTCTATAAGAAGCTCACATATCTGTAAATGACTTTATATCTGTGAGACTAATCAGCTGCTAGAATTACATATTGTTCTGTTCAAAAGTTTTGTTTTAGTGAACAGAGAAAAAACTATATTTTATTCTTTTTTATTTGGCTCTCTCAGATAATGGAAAATGTGCTGCATATCTTTTCTTTATTTATTGCAGGTTCAAAACTTGATCACTGTGAGATAAGTCAAAAAATATTTGAAAAATGCACTCAAGGACTAGAAACGGTACATTTGAGAGGTTAATTGCAAGTTTTAAAAAGCATGTGAAATCACACATGCTGTGAACGAGTCAGAGGAGAGCACAACAATATCTGTTCTGTCTTGTCTTGGCAGGCGTTTTTCGTAATCTGAGTTAAATTTATAATCCTGTTGCAGTTTAGAATAACAAACTCGGATCCTGTTTTATGGCCACAACTCAGTAACCTTACTGCAGGTGAGCCAGTTGATCTGAAGGTATCTGGCAAGTCCATGGTTCAAAAAATGTTCAGAAATCTTTGCCTGTCTAAGAAATAAAAAGTTCCTGAATGTGAACTATAGCAAATGCATGACCATAATACGATCAAGTAGTGACTATGCAGGGTCAGCGTTTTATCAGGGTTAACCTTTGTGTTTTGTTGACACTGGCTTTACTTCCTCATTGTTTGAGTCTCACGGACTCCACTTCTGTATGTGTAAAAATAAAAATATATAACAAAATACAGAAATGATCATAAATGTTATGTTATATGGGTTTCACATGAACAAATATACTCCTTTTGTTTGTGGGTTAGAGAGGTTTAAATCCCTGTCAGACCTCTAATGAATAAACTGTTAATATAAATAAAACTCCAACAGCAGTGATTCAAACAGACTTTGGATTTAGGAGGGTAATCATTTGTAAACAGTACTGTCAACACCGATCACAGATGTAGAGCATATGCAAATTCATTATATTTAACCAAGGTTTTACAGCAGGGGCCTCTGAGAACCCATTAAGTATACTTTTTAAGCTGTTAAAGAGGGTCTGTGGTGTCCAGCACCCCAAACAGAACATTGAGGTTAATTTTTCAGCAGCAAGGCATGTTAATAAATTATTAGAGGACCAGGTATTGGCATATTTACAGGTGTGTGAGTGATCTATTGACGAGAGGGCTGTACTATGAAGGGAGCTTAACCTACTCAGATTTAACTCAGTGTTTCCAAGGAACGTCCGGGTTCTCAAACTCTGATTGCCTACATTGCTGTTAAATGGTGCAACAACGGTGATTAAGATGTTAGTTGATTCAGTGTCAACTTAAGAGTGTGTGTCCACATGCCAGGGGCGTGTTCAGCAGCACAGGAAGAAGTTTTTTTTTATGTCTTTTGCTCCTTATTTGTCCCTAGAAGAATGTACAATGATAATATCAGGATATGAGGAGTTTAAAGAAAAGTTAATGGATTAATCTCACTGCAGTAGGGGCCAGTGTATTGAATTGAGTATTATATGAATTTAAAACTGCTATATGCCTCTATAAATCAGGCATGGTGCCTGACAACTGAATTCAAAATCTACTCCCTAAAGCACCGAGGCTGAAGGTGACCTGTGTGAATGTAATGCTGCTGTTAGAATAAATATACAATCAGTCGCACCAATCACCCTGGATTCCTCTGGAAATAAAGAGTTCTGTGTAAAGGCCTAGTCTATGTATATTAAAAAGTACTTCTATACTTTATAAATATAATTACATGTGACCATAAAAAGCCTCTGTGATCTTTATCACAATTAAATGGGAACATAAATGCATTCTGGCCCTAGAAGCTGGCATAGGTAGCTGCTGAATTCTCGCAGATGAGAATCGACATCTTTCATAAAGATCATCTGGGTAAACTAGAGGATTTTTAGTCTCTGTGCCTTGTGCAGTGAGCCTCTACATCACCAATGTCTTCCAAATGTTGCATGCGTTTTTTTCCACAAGATTGTGGACGGAGGAGAGAGAGGCGGTTTACATGGTGATGTGGAGTTAACCACGAAGATAACCTGCTATGCTACATCTCACAATTTTTGTTACATTTGATTTAATTGTGTTTTTTTATGTTATTTGTGTTTATTTTATGTTATTTGTGTTGGATATCTGTCTTTTCCTATATTTGTGTACATACTATACAATTTCAAACATCTCATGTCAGGTGAGGGCTTGAGGGCCACAGCTCATTTTATACTCTCATGTTCCCATTCATAGTTGGACCCACAGTGTGTACACACACCACACCTGCTCTTAAAGTAAAATCTGGTTTATAAGTTTCTGAAATACAAATATGCACTATCTATCACTTTGTTTTTCAATTGCTGAATGCTGATAAAGACCACGTCATGTTAGGTGCACCCTTGATACGCCCCAAAACTAAATATCTGGGTCTTTACAAGATGTTTGCGCCTGCCCAAATGGCCTTTGTTTGCCATGTCATATCAGCATAGAAACTGGGCTTCAGTGTACGACTGATGTCACACTGGGTATAAGAGCTGTGGCCTTAGCCTTGCCCTCCTGTTTGTGGATTTACCCCGTGACCATCTACAACCTCAGATCACTTTTCCGGGAGCCATACACGAACTTCAGGAGGTGAGATCTGAGAAGTTCTCTCCAAACTAAGGTTGGCCAGAACTGCTACATGGACAAGTCATCCGGCTTCTATCACTATTAATTACAACAACGGATTGTAGTAATTTAATCTTGCTTCTCTGGTTTCTGGGGCGCTATTATTGAAATAATTGTCTTTGGTTTGCTTCGATGGCACAGGACAGGACACGGAGCAGGATATTTGCTTGGGGGATACAGTGCCTCAATAGAGCTAGAAAATGTTACCATATATGAAGCGAAGGAGCACAGTCTAGACATGCTCTATTTGTGTGTCATCAGATAACTCCTGTTATAAACTGGCGCTATACAAATACAATTAAATTGAATTGCATTCCTTTTTAATAATACTGTTTTGCAACAACTACCTTATTATTATGTCAAATCAAGAAAATGAACCAGTATGATCTGTTTTTACATTTCTGCTCTTCCTCATATTCCTTGTCTTCTACTTGCAGCAATGGCGTTCCAGTCAAATGTAATCAACTCGCAGCCTCAGGTCTCCGTCACACAGTACACTGTCTCCACCGGATTGTCAGATTGGAGTTCAAATGTGTGCGACTGCTGTGAAGACTGCGGCATCTGTAAGTGTTTACGTGTGTTTGTGGGAGCAGGCAGAAATGAACCAACATTGTAAAATGAACATGAAAACATATTTCTCCTCCCCAGGTCTTTGTGCAACGTTCATCCCTTGTATCCTGGCCTGTAAAGTGGCTCAGGACAATGATGACAGCTGCTGTGTTCCCTTCCTTCCTGGTGCCATGATTGCTCTGAGGACAAGCATCCGCAGCAAATACCACATTACCGTAAGTGTGCTGACGTGTAAAGATTAGACCACAAAAACAAATTTAAATGCAGAGACCCAGTGTTTGATCATGAGTCTGTAAAAAAAAAAAAGATATACATCACCACAAAAAATGTTCGTCACCAGTTTACTGTGCCTGTCCTTCTTCCCAGGGCTCGGTGTGTGACGACTGGGTAGTCATGGCCTGCCTGCCTCTGTGTGGACTGTGTCAGATGGCGCGGGAGCAGAAGATGAGGGGACGAGTCTAATTTTCAAATTTCAAAGAAAGAGAATATGTGGAAGTTCACATTCCTTCGTCTGGACGCAATTTCTGTATTTCAGATTAAAATTTGATATTTGTTGGCATGACAATAATTAGGTACTGTGTTTTTATAATGTGAGAAGATGGGTGATAATCAGACTGAATTGCAATTTTTGTTTAACTTGTTTAATTATTCTATACTATTTTAACATAATATATATTCCATCATACAACTATAGACATCAAATTAAAAATTAGAGATGCAGGAAGCAATTCAGACTTGGAACTGGATCATTCATATGGAAGAAGTTATAACAAAAAAAATAATTCAGTATCTCAACAGGTCTAAACTTTTACATTGAACTGTCTCTAAGTTAAATATTCCCTCACTGAGATGAAATTGTCGGCGTGAAGAAGGAAATTCTGAGATTTACAGCAACAATGCCTTTTCCTTTACAGTATAGTGGTTAATTTACATACATTATTTATTTTTGGAATGTAATTATACCCGAATACTGTCTTTCTTGCTTACAACGTCACAATGAATATCATGTATTCATAAAAGGACTATTTCATGTATGTGTAATTAACTAATGTATTAATTTAAGCAACAGTATTTCATTAAAAAACTGGAATTATCATGCTGTGTTTTGGGCTTTTTCATGTTCCATTAGCTGCAACTCCATACAGGAGGAAATGAACGGTGGCATTCATTGGCTGCATCCATCTTCCTCTTTCCGATTTAGTGTCTACTTAACAAATCCATTGTACAAGAAGCACTCTGAAGAGGCAAGATGAGTTGAACGGCATTCATTCAGCAGGTAAGGCTGTCAAATAAATACATAAAATAATATTACTTTTACAGATTTAGTACCGTATTTGGAAATGACTAATTATAACTGCCAAGTATTTTTTTGATTAGATGAGTGAGAGTGAAGAATTTGTGTGAAGGATTACATAAATATAACCTTTAACAAGATATCATTATATGCCAGTTTTTAGCCTAAATACCTTCTCTTTTTTTTAAATGTTGGGAGAACAGTAATAAGAGAATGTTTATGGCAGATAATGTGCAAAGATTATTTCCCTGTTCTCCCTGTCTGCGTTTATACTGCGACTGTAACAACATGTTGCTGTAATTTAGCCTATGGCACACTCTGTAGTAGTTAACTCAGTGCAGGCCAAATTGTTTCCCAATTAGCTAACAATGTCAACCCTTTTGTAACATGTTTTTAGCAGAATCATACATGGATTATAAAGTGGAACAAATGTCAGGAAGAGGAGGAACATGCCAGTAAAAAGGGATATGAAAATATTACAAGAGGAACCCAGTTATCTTGGCTGCAAGGTTTTAAATTTCTTGGCAAACACAGCATTACCTCAAGTGACGATTATGACCTGAGACTATTGAAGTGAAAGTTTCGTTTTGTAAGGATTGTGAGGTTTTTGTAAGGCACACTTAACAGTCTGAGTTAGTGTAGGAACTGTTAGTGGAGGAATACACACTACTGAATATACTGCAACATCATCATAAAAATGTGGCCATTTTTATTTTGGGTTTTTAATACATGGCTGTATTTGATGAAAAAGTTTAAAAAAGCTTTAATTTTTGTCATGTAGTATTTCGGCTATTACAAAGAAAATATTATTCAAAATTAATCAGACTTCCAATTGTTCTTGTGACAAAAATATCCACAAATGAAAACCAAAGACCCAAACATTTTTCGAGGAAGATACCTCAAATTATTTTCATAGGTATGGTAAAAAACAACAGGTGGTATGAAGACATTTAGAGCAGGAATGGTGATAGCAGTTCTGTATTGGGATTGTTCTACTTAGAAAATAAGAAACGTGATTTAAAGGGTAACTTTAAAACCTGCTCTCTGTCTTTAGACTCCTGTACCGTGTTCAACTGGTGAACAACCCAGAGGCCTTGTTGACGGACAAGTTTGCAACCAACATCAAACCAACCCGACTAACAAACATTGTTGAAAGAAGTCCTGTTTCTCTGGACTGCAGCACGACAAAATGGTGAATCTAACTTATCAGCTGTTGTCAGTTACAGTTGTTCTTGGTGCTGTTCAACTCATCAGTGGTTACAGCTTCAACAACTGCATTGAAGACCCACACTTAAAAGGACAAAGTTTCAACTGCATCCGTCGGAAGAACAAGAATATGAAGGATATTATAAATGACCTGCCACAATCTGCCATCAATCTCACCATCTCTATTAATCCTGTGTGGTACATTCCCAACAGGAGCTTTGTTCATCTACCAAACCTTCAACACCTGAGAATAGATCATAATCATTTGAGTATCATCAATCAATATGCTTTTCAAAACCTGTCTCAACTTAAGTCTCTAAATTTGTCCCTTAACAACATATCAGCGCTCCATCCTTTTCTGTTTAAGGACCTGCCCAACCTCACCTTTCTCTCGCTGTCAAACAATAAACTAAAGCAGCTCCCAGAGAGCATTTTCTCCACTGTTTTCCAGCTAGACACTTTAATCATGAGGCAAAACCTTCTGATGAATTTCTCAGGGATTGCTAAATCCGTGTCGCATCTAAAAAATCTGAGAGTACTAGATCTTTGCTTTAACAGTTTGACCTCTCTCAGCCACTCAAATGTGTCACTACCCAAAAACCTCACTATGTTGTATTTATGTAGAAATAAACTGTCTACGTTAGGATGCAAACCCTCGTTCCTCGGGTTCATCCAGCTACTTGATTTGTCATACAATTCCAGGCTTCCTACGGTGGCATTTCAAGATGTGGATTTGAGACATATAAACTATCTGCGTTTGCGTTCAACAAGTGTCAACATAGTGGAGTTTTTAAGCAACAGCAACGTCTATGCAGGTCATGTTGATTTCTCTGGCACAGGTCTAAAAAATGACAGCCTCCTCATGGAGCTATGCAGACTGTTAAAGAGAAAATTAAAACGGATTAAAAACTTAGGGCTGGGTAATAATGGGATTGCGAATCTAACAGACACACTATGCCATTGTCCTACAATCACAGGGGCTTTGGATATATCCCGCAACCAACTGAAAATATCAAGTTTTTGTCTAAACTTTCTCAAAAATCAGACACAAATAAAAAGCTTCAGTTCAGAGCACAACCATCTCACCTCCCTCCCGTCTTGTAAAAACCAAAAGACGCATTTCCCAAAACTGGAAGAGCTGAGCTATCGTTACAACCGTATCCTCTCAGTCAACGCTTACGCTTTCAATCACACACCAAATGTAAAGACACTTAAACTTAACATAAACACAATTGCTTTTCTTGACCGTAAAGCTCTCAAAGGGCTAAAAAAGCTTGAGACCCTCCGTTTGGACAATAATCTCTTAACTGATTTGTTCAATAACACCTTTGAAGATCTTTTAAATCTGCAAATCCTTAACCTACGTAACAATCGTATTTCTGTTATTTTTAATGGGACCTTCCTCAACCTCACGAAACTGACTACACTGGACCTAGGAGGTAATAAAATCACTCATTTTGAGCGTTCTGGTCTTGATGGACTAAAAAGTCTGTCCAAATTCTATCTAGATGGAAACAATCTCAAAACAATTGACACCTCCCTCTATCATGCATTTCAAGACACACTCACAGTTCTGGATTTACAGAGTAATCAGATTTGCTTCCTCACTGAAAGTATCTCTTATTCCCCATTTATGAATCTCAGCAAACTCAGTGATCTGAAATTGGACAGTCAGCGGCCTCATGGCCTCGTCGTTTTACCCCGCACTTTTTTCCGTGGACTCCACTCACTGAAATCTCTGTATCTCACCAACAATAACATCTTTCATCTTGCTCCTGATGTCTTTGATGATCTGACAGGCTTACAGTTCCTCACACTGGATAACTGCTGTGTTGGGGTGGCGCAACTACAACCAGGAGCCTTTAAAAATCAAAGAAATTTAAGCAAATTGATTGTAGAAAATATGGGCATTCAGAACTTCTCAAAGGAGGTTTTTGGGAATCTTACACAGTTACACACCCTGCAGCTCAACCGCAATGTGATGCAGAGCATTCCTGTTGATGCACTAGATAGTTTACCTAACCTCCACTACCTTGACATACGTAATACTCCTCTAAGCTGCACCTGCAAGAACAGCTTGCTGAAAAACTGGACAAAACATAACCTAAATGTCCAGGTGGTCTATCTCTACAATCTGCCATGCCCACACAATGCAAAACTCAAATTCTACAACTTTGATACCAAGGTTTGTTACATAGATTTAGGAGAGTACCTGTTCCTTAGCACAACACTTTGGATCTTCCTGTTCACAGTCACTCCTTTACTTTATGTCAAACTCTACTGGAAAATGAAGTACAGCTACTACGTGTTCCGCTCCTGGTTTAGTGAGCAGTGGCGCAGACTCAGGGAGGAGGAGGAAAATTGCAAATATGACGCGTTTATTTCCTATAATTCTGCTGATGAACAATGGGTCATGGATCAGTTGCTGCCCAACCTGGAGGGACATGGTTCATCTTTTAAACTTTGCCTTCATCACAGGGATTTTGAGCTGGGCCGCGATATTGTGGACAACATCGTCTCTGCTGTGTATGGCAGTCGTAAAACTATTTGTGTGGTGAGCAGGAATTTCCTACGAAGTGAGTGGTGCTCTCTGGAAATCCAACTGGCCAGCTACCGCCTCTTCGATGAGCAACGGGATGTTCTCCTGCTTGTGTTTCTGGAGCCGATCTCTGAGAGGCAGCTGTCGTCCTATCACCGCATGAGAAAAGTGATGTTAAAAAAGACTTACCTGCAGTGGCCTGACTCAGACTGCCATGACCCGATACAGGCCCAAGAACTGTTTTGGAATCAGCTACGCAGGGCAATAAGAGCAGGTAGCAGACTCAAAACGGAAGAAAATGACAAAAGCCCAGGTTCTGAAACTGAACATTTTAAGAGTTACACATCAGATGAAAACTATTACTTGCAACCTTAAAAATATTTTATTTTATTAATGATTGTCAAGACAAACCTCCCAGTAAATGAGTAATTATATTATTAAGAGTGTCATGACAATATGGTGTAAATAAGTAGTGAGATGCGTTGTAAGACCAGTAACAATCCTTTATTATAATCATTTATACAACCATGAATCAGAATTTAATATCTCTGCTCAGCTTAATTGTATATTTAGCAATGCTTAATATTGCATGTCTATTGCACAATTGTACAAATGTGTTTTTTTTTGCATTTAAATGTAGCCCATAGGTAACAAAAAAACAAACAAAGAGCTTTCACAATAGCACATTCTTGGCTAAGATTCTTGGTCTGTAAAAAAATATAGCACCTGTGTTGTTGAAGATATGTGTTAATATACAGTTCTGCATAAAAAATGCTCCAAGGATGCAAACAATACATAATTGTGTGTTTCTTTATCACAGCACAAATGGGACAAAAGAATAAAAGAGTTAACTCTTGAGATGACAGCTGTTGCCATTACATTTAATACTGTGTTTTTTAATAAAATATAGGCACACAACACATATTGTTGCTGACTGTGAACAAAAAGTCTCGAGATAATTCTATTTTTTTAGTTAGACAAAGAAATGTTCACATGTCCCTATGGAGTGCTTCACCACACTTTAGTACAGTCTCATAGGGGGGAAGAACCAGAGCTCAGGACTGGGGAAAGAAGATAGAGGATGTGCTGGGTCTCTTTCAATCATGTGAGATGGGGGGTAATGCATCATGTCAGTGTGATGGGACCTGAGGGGAGGACAAGCTGAAGGGTGACTGAATTGGCTGAAGGGCTGGAAGTTGGTGCTCTGCTGAGGATGGCAGATTTGGGCAGAGAAGAAGGGAGCGAAAGAGTTTCTGTCAGTTTCAAATGGGTCTTGCTCCCGGGGAGGGTGCATTGGTTGTTCTGAATTTCTATGTGGCAGCTGTGCTTGGTAAGGAAACAAAGGCTGGATGTTGCCGCGATATTGAGACCTGCTGCTCCTCTCTGTAAATACTCTGTTGTGGTTCAAAAAAGAACCAAACATAACATTCTCATTGCTCTTTGCCTTGTTGAATCTGTCTTCCCAGTGTTGAGATGCTGAGGCATTTTCTCCCCAGCATGATGTGGCAGAGGGAGCGAACAAATGATCACTGGCTTTAACTCCAGAGGGCTCAAAGTCCATGCAGAACTCAGGAGAGGAAGTAGATCTGAGGATATCATCCAAAAGGCTCACCGAAGTCTCCACAGGTCTTGTCAACCATTCAGCAGCCTTTAAATGAAAAGCAGAAAGTATTTTATTCCAGAGTAATGGAATCTTAAACTATCTGAGGATTACTGAAGGAAGGATAACCGCTGGGCCGTGTGTGAAATAAACTTCAAACAGAGAGTGAACTTAAGGTCTTACCTGTTTCATGTTTTGGTGTAGCTGTGGACTGGACTTCCAGTTAAAATGCCCACTTCTCATCAGTTTGAGAGATGTGGTTTTCTGAGTGTCTAAAGGTGGCTGACTGGCAGCGTTGGCTTGAAATGCTGTTGTGAAAGCATAAAATAAAGGAAACAACTTAAAACCTGCCCACAAACTATGACTTTGCCTACAGGGCTTACTACTGCTTTTTTTCAATGCTTATATGAGCTGACTATTGTTTTAAGACAGACTTTTAAAAATTGTGAACCTCCTTAAAGATAGCTTGATATCACTTAACGGCACTGCTAGCAGCACTATGGCGTGACGTTTTTATGAATGGGCCCTGTTCTTGTTTGTATCCTGCATGCACATGTGGACACACAAACATGTTCATAAGCATGCAGACGCAATACACATTCTATTGTGAATAATTGACTGGTGGTAATACTGCACAAACAACTGAAGAAATGCTCCAACAAGAAGAAGACTGCAAGTTAGTAAAGTAAAGCTTATTGAAAAATATATATAGAAAAAAAATCAGCTTTGCAATTTTTTCCCAAAGTATCCCAGAGTATTTCAGTTCCTACCTTTAGTCAGGAGCTCATCTTCATCTACCATGGTGGGCTCCTGATCCTGGACGTCCTTTGTGGGATCAGTAACAAAGGTAAGGCATCGCTGCACCTCAAGGAGGTTCTCCTGAAGCCGGGGTCCGTGCCGCTCCCGTAGCGCTTTCAAGAGCACCTCTCTGCTCTCTGCCACTAGGCTTCTCCTTCTCAGGACTGGGAACTGCAGACAGTCGCACAGACCTGCTGCCACTGCACTGACAGTCTTAGACACACAGTCAGAATCTGGTCTCCTGCGCCGTATGTCAAAGCTTTCAGCAGAGTGTGAGCTGGAGAGCTGAAGTGGGCTCGGGCTGAGACCATGATCTTGTGTTTGGGGGACAGGAGAGTCCTGGTTCTTCGGGGTGTGCTCCAGAGTAGATAGATGTCCCTTTACCTTCTTGTTCAATGTATTCACATTTCCTCTGTCAACAGTGGGAGTATGCTGTGACTCTCCGCCCTCTCTGCTCTTCCTCCCGATGGAGCTGTGCTTCGATGAGAGGCTGCTTTTAAGACTTCCAGATGAAAGGTCAAGTTGTTGCTCTGGTCTCTGCCCTGGTGTAAGATCTGAACCCTGACTGATCTTACTCTCTTTCTCACGGCAATTGTCAAGGGCCTTTGTAGCGGGGTCTGCTGTTTTTCTAAATGTCATAGTCTCACGAGCATCAGCACACAACACATCATTAGTGGGGAACGAAGAAGGACTTTGAGATGTCGATGGGTGTGAAATACAGCGATTCTTTTCTTGTACTTGTCCACTTTTCTTCCTTTGCTCACTCAGCAAGCGTTCAATGTCGATAGACTTCACCTCATGGTTGAACAAGCCGTGGTGTCCTATCAGGCGACTGTCTGTGATGACACTGGGCTCCTGTGCGGCAGGAACGACATTTGGAAAAGGCGCGTCTCTCCTTGAAGGACAATGACAGCTACTATGACAGCAGTTATGGTAATACGCCATGTCTTTACTGGGTAGACGATGGAAGGGGCGGTGATGTGATTTGGACTTTGAAGCTTCTTTCCCACCACCTCTCATCTGACTCCTCTCCTTGCGGCTCTTCAGTCGCTTGGTTCGGTGCTGCGCATCTGTTTTAATATAATGGTTTGAACATTTGCAGTCTGCAGTGAATCTGTTCACCGAGCAACAGTTTTTATCTGCTGTTTTTTTTAATTGCTTCCTGAAAACATTAAGATTTTTTTCTTTGTCTGATGTAGCCCTGCCACGCACGCAGTTCATGCTGCACTGGTTTCTGTAGAAAGATAAGAGCAGTTATGTGTGTGTAGATGTACAGGAAATAAGATGAGAGACAGATTAGAACACTAGGTAAACGCCACAGGATGCTGGTGAACCTCAATTACATCGACTCTACTACTAGATTATAACATTTCTAAAAACGGATACATTTTCAATGTGGGCTGTGATCTTGAAGACATTTGGTCACACACACCGTGACATTTCTAAAGTGAAAAAAAGCTGGTGCTGTGAATACATGGTTGAAAGTGAAACGCTCACTTCACATGAGCATTAAGTCAATCAACACTAAATCAATAAACTCAATTTAAAAAACAGTTTATTACAGACTCAAAAATAATTTTAATAATTTGGATCTTGAATTTATTCTCACTTTCTACAAGTGACACACTTCTGTCTGCAGACTTGTCAGTGTGGCTGCTGTGGAACAATGTCAGGTCTCCCCCTTTTGAGGTTTTGGTAAAGTGCTGAACAACTATAACTCTCATGCATCCAGTAAATGTAAATGTTTGCCTCAATATCCAAAGTCACCATTGTCTATTAAAGTTCTGAAATCTACAACACAACCCAATGGATTTTTCTATTTCACTCATTAATAAAAGCCTGGCTGAAATACAAATGTATAATTGTTATTAATAGACCAGTGTGAAAGATTTTGGTGAAGCTGCATATTGTAACCATCTGAATACAGCTCAGCCTACCAAGAAGAGGAACCGCTCTCACTGTGGATAAAAACAGCTCATCCTAAAAGGTTTTTGTGCGCAGACCCATAAAAAGAAAAAAGAAAAATACTCCCCTGCAAATATGTTGCTTCAAAACTATTCATATGAGCAGAGATGCAAATCTGCCACAACATAAAACAAATAATTAAATCCACTCACACTTATCACGGACCAACCTCACTGTATTTCAGTAATAGTAATATAATAATTAACATTTGGATTCAGCCACTAAATGTAGCCTAACTGTTTTAGTGGTGAACCAACAGGTGATGACAACCACCAGGTGCACTTTAACTTGAAGCACACCTGTTTCAAGTTACACAATTCAGCCGTTGCTGCTACTTTAAGCACATATCATGCGTGACAAACAGCAAATCTGCAAAGAAACTGTTTTTTTTTTTTTTTTTTTTCTTACAGAAACTTAACAGCATTAATCAACAACACCGCTTACCGAAATTGTCCGCAGTCGTCTTTTTGCCGCAGGTAAATCTGTCGTTGCTGGGCAACATGCCGCAGACGTGTTTCTTTGCGCAGCACCAACTCTCACGAACGCCAACGAGCAGGACGAATCCACTCACGCAGACGAGGAGGTAAACCCGTCTCGTCTTTTATGTTCTTCTTCACTTTAACAGT